CTACTGCATCACAACATGGGAGCTGAGGTGGCTGAACTTGTGGGCTCTGTCTCCGACTGCCCAGGTTCAGCATTCAGCGTGGAGCCCTGTCCTAGATCAATCTTTTCCAAAGTGAGTCTCAAGCCTAGTTTCAGGGGCAGTATTTTAACATCATGATTCAGTATACACACAAACATTTATATAATAATAAAATGAATAGTGACCATGTTTATAAAGTGCTTGCCGTACACAGACAGGGTGGGGTAGAGTCAGAATTGGAACCCAGGGGTCCTGTTTCTACAGTGCTTTTGACTACCCTTCTCCGTTGCCTCGTGGCCTTGCACCTGCACACACGGGGGAACCAAAAGATTCATCAAACACTATAGCCCTCACTAAGAGGAGTGCACAGTCATAATTCCTATTCTTTTATATATGCTATTTCATTTAAAAAATGTTGATCGTAACCTGTTAAATTGATTTCATGACTCAGGACATGTGGTCTGAAAAATACTATGATAAGTGTTGTATGAAAAATTCTTTGGAAAACATCAACAATAAAAAAGTTAAATTGGTATATGTATCTCATCTTAGAGACTTTACCATGCTATTGTGCATTATAAATAAATTTTTTAAAGGGGTATATGGAACATTTCCAAAATTTACTCAAGCATCTTTGTCCCCTCATGGGATGGACACTAATTTGGGAAATGTTATCCTATATACATCTTACGGGCAGAGAAAATTTGGGGGTTACTTTAACTTATATTTTAGTATGCACAAACACCTTCAACAAATTTGTAAATAATTGTTTAAGAGAGAGTCCCTCCTGGAGAAGGGGAACCCTCAGGACTCTGAGCTCTGGCCTGGGGAGAGGTATCCTAGGCTGGATGAAGGAGGGTCACTCACACAAGAAATATGAGTAGTAGTGTCTTAAGAAAAAGTCTAATTAAAAATATATCCCTCTCTGGGGGGAGGGTATAGCACAGTGGTAGAGCACATGCCTAGTACGCATGGGCTGCTGAGTTCAGTCCCCAGTACTTCCATTAAAAATAAATAAATGAATAAATAAACCTAATTATCTCCCCCCAACAAAAAATAAATAAAAAGATTTTTTTTAAAAAAAGTCCCTCTCAAGAGCCAAAATAAAATGCTAAATAAAATCCCATTTTAACAGTTTTACTAAAATTAATGGTAGGTTATTTTTCAACTGGACTTTTTCATCCACAGGGGCTGGGCTGGGTGGGAGGATTTGGGTTAAAGGCCAAGAGAAAGACACCAGACAAGGAGGGCCCAAGGGAGACAGAGGCTTCAGCCACTTCTTGAGGCGGGGCACTCACTCCTCACACTTCTCAGAGGGTCTCTGTGATGACAGGAGGGGAGCAGGGCTGGTTGTAAATCATCTTCAGTTTTCTGCCTCTCTAAATTCCCCTCCCCTTGAAAAGGGCAGAAACTAACTCTAAGGATAAATGATTCTATAATGTGCAAAAGAGCTAATTAAAAAACAAGTTTAAGAACACAGACACATGGGGCCAACTCTGGGTGATGCTTATTTGTGTGGCTAGCAGATGTGTGGGAATTGAAAAGGGAAGCTTGATTTTTAGAATACAGTTGAACTTCAACATTCAACACCTTCTTTGGAGTAATTGCAAGTATTTTTTCATAACAACAGGATTACAGAGTCAAATCTTAACTCCTGGTTCTATCCATGCCAATCTCCACTTTCTTCCAATTAAGGATAATTGTCATTAAGCGTTACCTTTGCAGGAAATGGGTGGAGAAAATTTAAGGCTGCACTGTCCAGTATGATAGCCCCATATGGCTATTTAAATTAATTAAAATTAAATAAAATTTAAAATTCAGTTCTTCTATTATACTAGACATATTTCAAAGGTTCAACAGCCACATGGGGCTCATGGCTACCGTACTGGGCAGATTACGGAACATTTCCATCATAGCAGGAAGTTTTATTGGACAGCACTGATCTAGAGAAAAACCATTCACAGATGCTGAAAAGAAAATTGTTCATTTCTCCCTTCATAAAAGAGTTTCAAGCATTACCTTGCAGTACTGGCTTGACTTGGAATACCGTGGGGGTGAATTTGAAGGCTACTGCCAAAGATTTCATTATTATTTCAAAATATCATTCCAATTGGCCGCTCTAAAATCTCTTTGCATTAAGACTCTCCATTGCCACAAGTTATCTTTCAAAATCCAAGCATCCCAGGAAATGACATTGGTGATAACTATGACTTGTTCCACTAATCTATGAGCTAGCTTGAAAGTGCTTAGAGCAAATTATGAAACAAAACAAAACAAACAAAAAACCATAAAGATACATGGCACTATCAGCTCCAGGAATAAAAGTTTATAGTTAAGCAAGGATAAGCATCTGTTATTGCCCTTAGGATAAGGAAAATATTTATTACATACCTCGATCTGTTCCTAGCCTTTTCATGAACTTAGATTCAGTAACATTTGGTCTTTGTATCACATTTTGAGAACTTTAGCACATATATCATTTGAGCCTCACAGCACCTAATCACCACTGTATTCTGGATTCTTAGTGCTGTAGATTCTTGTGAAGGGGAAGACTGAGAGGTGATACATTATCTTGTCAGTGTCTGTCTTGCTTAATTGGTTACTGAACTCATTCCGAGTGGCCAGATTATGCTGAAACCAAATGTTGAGGATTGCTGGGGCCAGCCAGCTTTTCCTCCTGCGTGACTCCAGGATGCCCAGCTAATCTGGCCACTGTACTGCAGAGATGCGCCTAGATAACAGGGGAAACAAAGCAGGAGGACACAGCCAAGTGCCATCACTCTTGATGATCACAAAGCAGGTAAAGTGAGCACAAGAAAACCCTGCAAGATCATTGTAAGTATGACTGTGGTAGTTCCAGAACAAAGCCTAAACATACGGTATTACTATATTCATGCAAAAAAAAAAAAAAAACACTACGGAATAAACTATCTCCCCCTCGAAGCAACCTGTGAAAGGCATTTGATGAGAAATACATGAATTAAGCAATCACTATAGAGACACTCTGATGTCAATTTAAATAATCCAAACAGATTGCCTTCAGCTAATGGCAGAGTATAATAAACATGCATTTCCCAAATACTTTAATATGTTTGTTCAACGTCATAACATTACCAATTGTCATTACTGTTAGCAAAACTTCTTTATCCTTTTATTTACCATGCCTGGTTTTTGAACTTCCAACTTGGGGAACTTGCAAAATATTTATTAAATATTGTATAAATAAAAGACACAACATTAAAATTCCTATGCTTATGCCTTGAAGATTAAACTCACATTTCTAGTTCGTTAAGAGACGGGAGCTATAGTGAATGTTTGAAACATGGTGTCTCTGGGACACACAGAAGAAAAAGTTTGGGACTTAATGCATGAGAGCTGAAATTGTAAAATTCTTTAATCTGCAAATATCACATACATGAGCCTAACAATTTTTCCTTGAAAACTTTAAGTAAGTCAGTTTATTAACTGTTACCATGGAGTTTATACATCCACATTCGCCTATCCTTTTGATGACTTGGAGCCTGGAATGGAGTTATAGCCCTGCATTGTTAAAAATCTGCCTTTGATTCAAGCAGAGAAATGAAGAAGCAGAAACTGGTATTATCGTAATTTAGACAGTGTTATTGTAACAGATCCAAGAACTTAAAAAAGAAAACCATATTATTAGTATATTTAGTTCCCTAACTGGACCTCTCCTGGTCTCCCACAGGAAGTGGGAATGGGTTCACTCCAGGAGAGGTGCTTCCATCCCCACTGGGCTAGGTTCTCACATTCGCAGTCACAATCATGGCTCGGCCGTGAAAGACGGTCTCGCCGGAATAAACCTGACAAAAAAAATTCCGTGAAGTGTCTGGGATATAATAAAGTGCTGTGAAGGTAGCGGTGGACGGAGGAGAGAAATGAGCAGAGAGAAAAGGAATATGAATTTAAAATGGTAAAAATCCCCTCGTTCTCGATTTGATTCGGTTTAAGGAGAAAATCACTCAACAAGGGCTCTCTCCACAACCCCAAAGCTAATCACTCTTTTATTGCAATGGATGATCGAACAGCCTCGGTCACCCACCCACCGGCGTCTCCCCGGAGAAACTGAAAATCCCATTTCTTTCCAAGTGTGCACCCAGGAAAGGGAAGCAGGATCGTTCATTCAGAGCGGAGGCTGTGCACAGGGCAAGGCAAGTTAGTGCATCCCTCCCGGCTCCCCTGCTGCGCGAGCCGGCCTGACTCTGCTAACGGGAAAGTGCTCGGCGAACGGCAGACGGACCGGGAGGCCGAACTTGGGGTCGCTTCCGACCTGAGCGCCCCGGACAACGAAAGGCCGGGGTATC